TCCAATTGTTTGAATACGAGTCACTTAAAAAAACTGTAGTTAATCATTTCAAATCTTTATTTACTTTGGATTTACATTAAATGAAAAAATCATGTCTCAGAGAAAACCTGCTAACAAGAAACACCCTTTCCAGTTTTGTATTATTAAAATCCCTTTCTGTTTACACACATTTGTTCGACACTCAGACACAGAGCCCAGACCTCACAGAAGTTAAAGCCTTTCGGCAAAATGTTGTGTTCTTCGGTTTGGCAGTTAATGTAATGTACATTCAACATGAACCCACGACTGCTCAGTCCTACCACTAACCAATCACTGAGTTCATTTATTTCATTCATATGTGCTTGTGGAGCTATGTTGGATTTTGATTTAATCGGATTTTTTTCATAGGGAGGAGAAATGTATTTCCCTACTACTTCCCACCAGAATTACCACAAAATATTACAGCATTTCCCTGGACTAACACTCATATGAGAGCAGATTACTTGCAGGAAATCCATCCATTATCGTAACTGCTTATTCCCTAACGGGGTTGCAAGGTACTTGCAGGACAGGAAAAAAAATTAAAAGGGTTGTTTAACTGCTTTCTGTTTTGTTTGTGAGTTTCCCGCAGATCTTGTGATAGTCAATCCACATGCAAAAATCTCTACGTCAGGTAAAATATACATTAGAATAGACGGCCAGCTTGATGGTCTTCCTTGGAGTTGCTTTGGGTGGGGTCATGAAAGAGTAAGACCAGAGCAGGGGAACACAGCTATAAAGAAGATGCCACAAATTTGGTGTGAAAGCCATAAAAATATGAGCATGCCCATCAAACCGAGACATTGCTGGAATCGTAATATTTATATTGAGATAAGGCCAAGGCATGAGTGAACCACGTAGCTGCTTAGGACCCCCTGGAGGCTTAGGCTGGGTCTGATACACAAATAATAAGGTTATTTATAGGCCCAAACTTCGACAGTTTTGCGTATCAACGTCACTGGCTTTAGATATAGCTGAAATTTTTAGGACACAAACGTTGAAAACCCACTTATCCAGTTGAAATAGCCATTCAAACCTGCTATTCATCAAGAGGTCAGTTGTTTTTTATTTTATTTGTTGTGTTGTTGTGTAATTTGTTATGTGTGAATGTCATCCTTGTAAAAAAAACTGTCTTTTTACTTTTAAATTTGTACAAAAATACTGACAGCAGTTATGGCATTTACGGTAGTTGCAGATACTCCTCTGCACAAACAGGTGGATATGTTGTTGCCTCCATTTTACTGTTTTATGATCCAATATAAACTGTCCTCTTTCACGTTCATTGAATAGATGTTTTGAACTTCTGTCACTCTTCTTCCTTTTATTATCTACTATCTATTAGATATGGCAAACATCAATTACAATTCTCTCTACTATTAAAACTTTTGTCCTAGACAGATTCAGTGGTAAGTTGAAATGATCCCTTTTTTGAAAATGATTTTACTTGACTCTCCATGAATGTTAATATTACAATAAATCTTTCCAGCTCTTCTGTTGAATTTCAGCTGTATACAAATCCATGGCTGACAATATTTGGATGTTTTTTCACTGCATAATACAGTTTCTCTATTTCCAGAAAAAAAGTTTTGTTTGTGATGTTTCCCATCCATGTACATTCATAGATTGAATAGGACCTGGGTCTGTTGTGTTGTCTCTCAGTTTTCTCCATCAAATTAAATGCCAAGCACAACTTTATTTCACTATCTACCAACTCTTTTTGGTTTTATTTCCACTGTTTAGCTTTAAGCTGAATTCAAGTACAAGTGTTTTCCCATTGAGTGTTTCAGCGTTGTAAATTATTTACAAAGCATTTGCGGAGAATTAAGTTATTTTCTTGTGAGACTCACGCGAGAGTTGTAGAATGTAACCACTTCCAAAAAAAACAAATAGCCTTCTGAGCCCAACACATGCACGGCTGTAGACATAAATATGTTTTCATGTATAAGAGGCGGACATTCAAAGAAAATCACACATTCTATCAAAAACAAACGGTAATGTTATAGAGCCAAAAAACGTGAGATTGCTTATTTTTTTTATATCTTATGACACATTTGATAAACAAACACAATAACAAAAAGATTGCATTGGGCGGTTGAGTTTATCTGTAATACCATTTATTCATTTGTTTCCCAGACCAATTATAGTAACCAACATAATGCGCGCTGTCAATATAACAATTTCATGTATTTACGAACAACAAAGAACATTTTGAAAAGCAACAGGCGTCCACGTTTTTGGTGTGACTTAGCTAAAATAGACCAGAAACTTTTTACATTGGAAGAACATCTTTTCATGTTAAAAATAATGGGAAGGAACTGAGGCGGATTATTGAGGCGGATATGGCAAAGATAAGCATAGACCTTATTTCAATCTCTGATAAAAAACGTAACAGTGATGAATATGTTCATGAGGCAGAGATCTTAAGTAAATGTTTGAACTAAACAGCTAGGTTTACTTGTTTTCATGGCTGGAGTCAGATAGGCTATGACCTCCTTTGCGTTACAGCCAATTAAAAGCATAGGGTGAGATTATCATGATGGTATAGTTCTCTTAAATCTTCCCCAATCTGCATGTCAAAAACAAAGGAAATGGGTCAGAAGGGAGAGCTAATAAATTCTGACTGACTGATAACTTATTTGTATTAAGTTTATTTAGCTTTATTTGGTTTTAATTTGGATTTGCAACCCTTAGATTTTCCTCATTTTTTAAACTTATACACAGAGGTAAAAGTGTGTTTCTTTGAGGTTTTTGAGTCTTTATGAAATTAGATTAATATATTTTAAAGAGGCTTCTTTAAGTTTTTAGGAATAAATTTGAACAGAATGGGTGAAATCACCACTTGATATCAATTTCCTTTTCCTATCTGCTTGTTACATTCTTCATATTATGAATGAATGAGCTTTATGAACGTGATACATCAGTCCTCCCGATTCCTGTATGTTCATTTTTATGTTTTGATGTTTGGACGGGTTTTACTGTAATTTCATTGTTCCAGGACACTAATTCAAAGACAATAAAAGTCATTCTATATTTTCTATTCTACTCTAACCCACACTTTTATGTGTACATTTCGTTATGACTTTTTATTGAGTAACGCTGGAATTAAACCAAAAAACTGACACCTTTTATTTCATTATCTAACATGTACAGATATCAAGAAGGTTTCTTTCCTGCAAAGGCTCAATTATATTCAGGGCAGTGACAAATATTGGAGCAAAGGACTGCATCTCCCTAGCCTCATGTCCTGTTACTGTCACATCCATCATGGAAGACCTTCTCCTGCCATAACACAAGAGATGAGCCTGGTCCTGGATGAGATTAATTCAGGGGGACAGACATGAGCTGACAAACTGGAAACAATGTCTGGAGACAGGCTCAATCATTTTATAAAAATACAATGAAGAAAATCCACTTTGAGACCAAGTAAAATAGAAAACTTCCAGCCTAAAGGTAGCCTCAAAGTTTAAAAAAACATCCAAAACAAAACAAAAAAAGTCTTAGCTGAAACCTAAAAACAAACCTAAGCAGTGACTCAAATACGGTATAACTTCTTCAGTTTTTGAGATAAAGTGCCAATAAAAACACCTTGTTATTTATTATGTCTTTAATTATTATTTATTTTATTTATTATTTATTTGTCTCTCTTATATTTTTTATTGTTATGTGTCATTATCTGCAGAATTTATTAAGGAGTTATCGTAGTATTTTGGGCTGTGGAACGAATTATACGAAATACAGTGTACTCATATGGGAATATTTAAACTAACCTACAAATATTTTAACATACGAATTAGGTCCCGGAACGAATTAAATTCATATGGAGAGGTTCTACTGTACTCAGTTTACAACAAATGTAGGTTTTCTTGGATATTCATTGTCTATCTCTATACTTTTAGAAAAGGAAGTAAAAGGTGACTATGGGGCATAGTCACAGAGTGACAATACAATGAGAATACTGCTCTGATTTGCTGTCCTTAATTATTCTAAGTGACATATTCTGGATAGATTTAGTCTGTAGCATTCAGTGGTGAATTGCTGCCCTCTGGTGATCCAATGTAGTCACGCCACACAGTAAATTGCATCATCATTTGAATGAATTTAATGCAGTTAACGTGAAATAGCAACATAAAAATGGCATAACAGATGATCAGTTTTAACGTGCGTTTTGAAGGGAAGTCGAAGTGGACCATCAGCAAAATAACATGTCTGTTCACCTGCGTTGTTGTCCTCAATTTTGAGGTTCAACCCTCTTTTGGTTCTTTGGCACAGTGACAGGTGGGACCTCGTAGGGAACCCTTTAACTTGGAAAGCAATCCCTGTTCTGCAAAAAATTTCAAATATGTTTGTCACAGTGTTTATTAATTGCTCATTTTTATTGGACTTGTTCATAACCACCAGCATGTATCCCTTATCTACTATTGGTTTTCACATACTAATCTACTAAATATGTACTTTTTCTGACTGTTTTGGAGTCAGAATATGACCAGGAGGAACCACCATGCTTCTCCAAACATCATTGTTAAACAAATGGCTCTTCTGCACATAGTGTGATAAATTTGTTTGAGCATGAATATATATATATATATATATATATATATATATAAAATATTCCTGTGTGACTTCTTGGTTTCCCCCTCTTTCAACATAGGCTTGCCCATGTGCTTCTTGAGTGAGTAGACCTATTAGAACAGGCAATTTTGCTTTTAGACATAGTTCCTTTGTATACCTTAAGCGTGCGGGTAAAAGCAATCTGTAAAAACTAAAAAGCCACATTAGGTGTAAGTTATGATCATGTTTCATACAGTCCGACAATTGCATTGAGCACAAAACAAAGTATCTCCAATAATATCTTACAACATTATCCCTGTGTGTGGTGCTTGTCTCTGAAAATGAACTAGGTAATCTGCAGTGAAGTTGGTACGGTTAACAGAGTGGCATTCAGTCATGGTGGAAAGAAACATCTCACTGTTTGTTATGTTTATTGTGCATAATATTGCTAGTGTTATTATTAGTAGAAATACGCCACCTTGTGGTCACTTTAAGTTATTGTTTGAGTTAATAGTAGAAGAAGAATATGGACAGGAAGTGCTTTGCCCAGAATCGAATGGCCGCTTCACACTCCTCCTGGTTCTTTTGTTGGTGTTTGTTAAAGCATTGTCTGTGAGTATTACTTGGTTAAAACATTGAGACACCTGTAATGTTACATGATATGATAGTATTGTGTAAAGTTGTATGTTTATAGCCCGTTATTATTTTGCTAATGAGTCCGTTTTCATATGCTAATTTTTGTTGCTAATCGCTAGCTAACATCCTCATTTCATTAAAAGTCAATCCCATGTTGGTCCTTTATTTTATTTATATCATTCTGTAAAGCCTAGATTGTAATACATTGCATTTCTGTATGTTACAGTTTCACAAACTGAACTTACTGCCACTTAATGAAGTAAACTTCATTAACCAGAGTCATCGCTGTCCGGAGTTTTTTCATCGTTCAAGATTGTTTAGCTGTTCGGATAGCTGGTGCGAGTATCTAGCGAGGCCAATAACACTGTTGCTTTCCTAGCAAACTTGTCAGCTAAAATGATAACCTTTGGTCACAGTCGCTCATCGTGAACATTTCAGTAATGTCAACTGAGCCGCTAGTATCATGGAATGTAATAAAACCTTGAGACATTTCTCATACTTCACTGGTTTCCCAGAGGTTGTAATGAATCTGTGATTCTTTAATTTTTTTCAAAATTTTTTGCAGTAGTAAAACCTCATTTTAAAACTGTAACCAAAATGCACAACTTCAGTGTCAGTGAAACTATTTCTGCCACTTATTTTGAGAATATTAGCAATTTATATGCATCCACCATCATCTATTAAAGCCTAACCTGCAAGAATAGTTTTATCAACAGGATATATAGGAGAACCCTCACACAGAAGAACAAACTCATTGGTCTCTAAGGAATTTGTCGCTAAACTGTTCTTACATAGGAAAATTAATTAATCAAGTCCATAAAGTTTTTTAGAATTTTTTTAGTTTGATCATCTTTAACCAAGGTGTAACCAAACTGAAATAACTTCGTTGGAGTGTGGTTGCCAAACTAACTCCCAGTCAAAACCAGTAAAAGCACCGTGGGTTTGGTTTTCTTCATTTTTGCCTCTTTCACAACACTTTGGACATCACCTGACCATTGAACATCACCTGACGCACCGAGGACCTTTCCCGCTGAGTGAGAAAGCCAAATTTGAAAGCCCAGAGGAAATGATGTTTCCCAACTGCCTTGGCGTCCATTTACCACAATTAAGTGACAGTAATAGTTTCGGGGGCGTTGTGGTGAGGGGGTTTCTGGTTTGAATCCCTGGGTGACCACAGACTCTCTGTCTGGATTTAGCATGTTTTTTCTGCGTTGGTTCTCTCCAGGAACTTTGACTTCTTCCCACTGTCCAAAAAATGCATCCTGGGTTAAGAGGAGACCCTAAATTGCCGCTAAGGGTAGATGTAAGTTAGTGTGGTTGTTTGTTTCTGTGTGACTGGCAAATTGTCAAAGGTGTGCTCCGCACAATGTAAGCGGAGATAGGCTCCCGAACCCTAACATTGAAACACTACACCATATAGTTGGTCAAGAAGTAATCTTAAAGGCATTTTTATGCTTCTTAAGAAGGCAAAAACAACATCAACAACAACAACAATAATAATAATGGTGTGCAAATTATTTATAGAAAAAAAATAATTAATTATAATCAGACTAAAAAAATACAGGCAAGAGGATGGCTACATTAATATCATTTTCAAGGTTTAAAATATTTAGAATGATATCTAGGTATGTTATTGAAACTCAGAATTTTTTTATATTATATTAATTTTATATTAAGTTGTATACCAACAGCATGTGCTAATCGCAGCTAAACCTTTTATCAGGAGGTAGAACTTCTTAAAATGTTTCACTGACATTGTAAAATGGGTCTTTGAGTGGTTCATTTATATAACGTCTTTATATTTTAAACAAATGGCCTGTGCTTTACCTTATGGACATCAGTTGATACACAATAACTCAATGTTTGAGTACATTACTGTTGTTTCATCGCCATTTAGTGTTAAGCAATGTAACCCCTGATGTCCTGAACAGCTCAGAAAAGGACACAGAGCATATATCTTTGTGTACTTTTATTTAGTTTGGTGTAAGAGAAAAAAAGGCAACAATTAATAGTGAAAAACATCAAAGTTGCATATAAAATGCAATTACAAAATATCTGCGTATGAAGAACAAATGTGTAAGTATCAACATGGGTTGCCCTTACACAAACAAGCTTCAGTCCAAAAAACAAACCCCTCCATGTCCAACATTTGTCTGAACCACATTGAATCAGATCCTCTGGACACAGCAGGACGTAGACGTTAAGACAGAGTGACAGTCACAGAAAAACAGCACAAAAAGATTTAAAAAAAAAAATTGGTGCCACAGACTGAAACAGACAAAGTAGACAACACAAAAGACATTGCGGTGTACACTGCATAAATACACATGAGGGTAAATCCCACCGACCCTGAGTAGGACTGCTGCCTCATGCCTTTAGCAGGAATAAAAAAAATTGAAGCAGGTCATTTAAACAACAGTAAGCTTGGCTGGAACTTCAAAATAAATGTTAGGGTGGTTTAAATCCAACAACATTCAAATGCAAATACAAGGCAAATATAGCATTTCGGCTTTTATATCTCACTGTCCTTCTCCTTCATTACAAGCAAACCTTGAACGCGCTGATACAGAGCTGCAAGAACATCAAAGCTTAATAAGGACATTAATGACAGCATTTTATGAGAAGAAACTCAGAAAAATTCGGGTGTTTAGTGAGAGTTGGAGCCCTGAGAGTCACTCCATTCATCTTCTGAGAGGCAGTCATCAACATCAGCAGGGCCAAATCTGCCGGGGGTTTCCACGTTACTGTGTTCCTGAACAGGCCTTCCAGATCCTCCAACAGGCTCTACTTCGAATGCCTCAGTGCCAACTGAGTGTGAAAGAAACAATTGTTAGTTATAAAAGTGACAAATACAACATCTGAGCTCTGTGTTCATGTTTTTGCTGGTGATCTAGTCCTGCAGAAGGGATATGGAAATCACCTTATGAGCTGTGTCGGCTAACTGTTGGGCCTTGCTCATAATCTTCACCGTCTTGTCCTCGGCACGGGTCAGTCTGTCCCCACGCTCCCCCAGACTCACGTTGATCCTGTGAACTATGTTTGCCATCGTTCTGTCTGAGCCGCGTTGTCCACTTAGACCTTTTTCTACAACAAAGAGATCATGCAATAAATTGACCCACTAAAAACAAAAATCTTATTCCTTGCATGGAAACCCAAACAGCCCTGATGTGACCATCATCACCACCTTTCCCACCACTATTCTACATGTCTCTACAAGTATTATGATAAAGTCAGAATGTCTCTCAGGGTTAAACCACTTTTATCACAATATTGGAATTCCATATCCTTTTCCTTTTACAGCCAGTAAAACAAGTGTAAAGTCAACTTTTTTTCCCAAAATCTCTTGACTTTACTTAGTGAGCATCCATTGAAACACAGAACCTTCTTTTCATGAAAATAATTGTACTATAAAATATGTTTATGCTACTTTCTCGTGTAATCGCAGCTGTTCTGGTCAAATATAATAAAAGAGATGCCAACTTTGCCTCGAAAACAATGGCAAGAATAGTGTTACACTTTTAAAATATAAATATACACAATTAATTGTTTATGTAATATTCAAAACGACTTTTTTCCCATTATGAAAAACTAATCGATGTCAACAAGACTAGGAATATTCACTTTGAGGTTTCTTTTTTACCTTGCCAATATTGACAAAAGTGTAATGTTTATATGAAATCTAATTATGCAAATATTAATGTACAGTTGAACTTTCCATTGGTGAAGGTGAAATGTTTTATGTACTTTTTAAGGACGGATTTTAGGAAAAATATTGCAAGGGATTATTTGACTTTTGTAAATCAGTATGTGTAAGAGTAAGAGCACTGGAACAAAACATGACCTTGCACTAGCTAAAAGTATGATGCTTGACTTCTGTATGTATGAACTCTAATAAACTAATAACAAATGACCACACAGGCCTGTGCCTATTACCAAAGGGCACAGGCCAACTGAGGTTAACAAAAATCCTGCTAAACTCTAACTTGGTGCTCCGCTGGCATGTCTCCCATCCATTACACTGCCTATGTCAAAACGTTCAATGGTATCCTGCATTGACTCTCGAAGCTCCGAGCTGGCAAAAGGCCGGCTATTGTATGGAGCTCCCTGAAAAAAAACAATGTCTTCTCTCATTCGGCTGCCACATCACAGAGAGAGCTTTCTGCTGCAGCAGAGAGGTGCCACACAGAGAGGACAATAGACAAGAAAAGCTAAGGGAAAACAGTCAGACACAAGCTATCACAGACTGACTAATGACTAACGTTTTACACACCCATCACACTCATCCGTCCATTTCCTGTACCGCTTATTCTCACAAGGTCGCCGAGGGGCTGGAGTCAGCTGACAATGGGCGAGACCCACCCGTCACGCATGTAAACCAAACCTAAACCATGTAATTTATCACTACAAATGTGCCTTTGGCTCTGTGAACTAGCTGAACGAACCTCCATACCATCTACCCAAGTATACATATGCTTCCCATTTGTGAACGGGATTTTCTCCAGGTATTCCAGCTTCCTCCTACTGTCCAAAAACATGCATGTTAGACTGAGTAGAGACTCTAAAGGAGTGAATATGGGTGTGTATAGTGTTTTGTAACTGTGTGGCCCTTTGATAGATTGGCATCCAGCCCAGGGTGTAGCCCACCTCTCACCGGGTGTCAACTGGGATAGACTTCAGCCCCCCAAGACTAACACATGCTGTGAGTGTATGTTTATGAAGTGGCATGTAGGGTGACAAAACTTTGAAAGCACTATAGTAGAAAAGTCTTTTACAAGTACTTTGTTTTTAAATGAAGAAGCATCAGAGAAGCCCTTTCTGATCCCACAGAACTACGATTGTCTATGATGTGGCCACATGTTTGGTTTTGAACAAAAATAATAATTTATTTGGGATGGAATCACCACAGGTTTACATGTATGAGTACCACTGCTTTCAACTTGATTTCCACTTGAAAATCATATAGAAGAAGATGGTACTTAAGAGGCTTTTTGTAAAATGACAGTGGGAAGGACATGCAGCTCATGAGGCACTGTCAAATATATTATTGTCTTAGAATAAAGTCAAAAGTTAATCAGCGCAAAGAAAATCTATATTAGTTACTCCAAGCTTTTCTATTTCTGTGATCAACAGCTGACTGATGTATTTCCGCCTCACCTTGACGTGGCGAAAGACTTTGGTTTTTAACTATCACCTTCCTCACGCGATTCAAGAAGGCTTTGCAGCGGTAGATGATCAGATTCATGGTGCTGGCGTCTGAAAGCACAACACATTAACACCTGAATCAGTCATTCTAGTTAACAGAGTAGGATTCATCCCACAACTCTGGCTCACTACCTCCGGTAAGCTTGGACTGACAGTTGATGAACTCAGTCTGTCTGGGAGGAGCAACGCTCTTTCTTCTGGTCTGCAGGCTTCTGGTCGCTAAGGTCTCACTAGGACTACCTCTAATATCGGTGTGAGCAGAAAGACTTGCTTTCCGCTGTTGGCCTGATATTCCCGGCTTCCCAAGATTCCTCACACTGCCCAGTTTCGCTTCCCAGTAAGTCTGGCATGCATGATAAAGGATCTGGACAAACAGACACTTCTCCGCAGATGAGGTGGCCATCCACTGGTCCACAGCATTGTCAAACACCAGGTCAAACTCTGGACTGTCCTGGAAGAACCGGGTACAGGAAATGATACAAAAATGACCTAAACTTAAAAATGTGAAATGTTCTGATGGACCAAAGGAGAAGGGTGCAGAATTTTTGAGTGTTGTCAACCTTGTTGGGGTTGATACCGTTGACCTGTTTAAGTTGCTCCACAGTCCACTGGGATCTTCTTGTGAAGGAGGGGGAGCCACCAAACTGCTTGACCTTTGTAATCAAAAGCTGATGTGGTCTGCTGTTGGTCACTTCACAAAAAGATAATGTCAAAAGAATGATGACATTGATGAACACAGAAACACACACACTGACACCCCAAATAACAACTTAGTTATTCTGGACAATAAGGGAAGGCTTGGACAAACTACAGACATCATAATACAATCTTTTTTTATTACAATTAAGATAAAGTTAGCTTCTGTTTTAAATTTGGAATATTTTTCAGATTAAATCAAGTATGTGTACAAATGTAATACTGGTGAAATGATACAAAGCAAATCTTTTTTTAGATAAACTCTACTTATATTTTTAGATTTACGTACTTAATGTGCTAAACCACCAATGGTGGTTTAAAATGCTGAATTTTAGAAGCATTTTAGTAGCATTATGTAAGGAAAGGGAGTTGCCATAAATTGCGTCATGTTTACAAATTACCAACAACATTTCAGGACTATTTTCTCAGTCTAAAAGTCTGAAATGTTCATTTTTACCGGACACACAGATGAATGTGGTATATTCCTCTTTGGAGCGTGCAGGCAGGAAAGACATCCTCTTCCTTTTCCTCCTCTGCACCTCCACTGCAACCAGCATCCGTTCATCATGAGGGATAAAGACCTCTTTGTTGATTACAGACTGAATGTTCATCGTAGTTCCAACAGCTACACAGGTGATAGATGGACATAAATACTTTGCTTTGTCTGTCGATGCACCAGATAATGTTATGAAATATGCTTTTACAATATGATTGATTAAATTAATAGAGAGCTCAAATCTCAGCTCAAACAAGATCTATTATGTCATAAATTGAAGAATTAACAAAACACTTTCTATTATTACATTTTTTCTCATTGCTCTGATTTATCATCTAATCAGCTGTCAACTTAATGTAAGAATAAGGTCAAAAAATTCTGTGAGTGAACTCAAAAATAGGAAGAAAGTTATTAGAATAACATTGTTTACAACCTAATTTCTAACCTTAATTGTTTATTTTGTCTGGAGATTGAATAAGGAATACGGTGTTACATCTTCATGTCAACACAAACAGATTACAGCTAGCTGAAGATGATAGAATAACATTTCCCTGGGGAAGTTTGTAATCTTTTTGTTACCATTTGCAGGTTTCCAGAAAAATATATTTAAGTGGAAAACACAACTTTGGATTTACAACCCAGACAAATGTTTAACTCACCAGTATTGGGAATGTTTTTAGTTCATTAATCAAGCAATATAATTATTTTTAGCTTTAATAATCTTCTTCAGCTTTAAGAAATAAATACTTACCAGTTTATATATATATATATGCTGATGTTCTGTTTTAGTAGCACATCACATTATTATTACATCTTCATTTTTCCATTGTAGTTATTTAATTCTTAACTTGGGGAGTTACATAACAATATGTAAAAGTTTATATCAGCAACATTTCATTAGTAAATATACAAAATATTTATATTTTGATTTGAAAAAAGCCATACTTCTGCATCTAAAAATGAAAAGTACAGCTTACCTGTTCTTATCCTTTTTGTCATCCAAGCATAGTCTGATTGAGTCTTGTTATGGTGTTTAGTCTTGTTACGCTGCCATGTTAGTTTAAATGTTAGCCGGTTACAAATGCTGTATAGGAATGGATTCTGGCATGACCTTATATACTCAAACACCCCAAATGGCGTGCCTTGCTTTGAAGGCACAAATCCACACAGTCCTTCCCCATTTCAAGAGGCTGAAAGGCACGTGGTTAAAGTCAGAGAACAGTCAGCAGCTTTCTCTCAGACAGAGCTCTTTGTGGAGGTTTGAAGCACTTCATTATTGCAGACATATTGAAATTTTGTTTATTGTATACTGTATATTTAAAGCTTCAGGCACAATACACACATCTGCATTATTTTTTATAAAACTATACTACACACAGGGCAGATGATTAGTTTTTTTCTTTTATGAAAATCAGTCAAAATTTTATTTCTTGCATTTCACACATGTAGTCATAATATACTCATGAAAGAGTCGATACTAACTAGCAAACTAAATGGTAATTAATAGAGGTATCAGCCTAAGTTGCTGTATCAACTACAATTACAACAATTACCTGAAAAACAAAAAGACAAGACACAATTACATATTATCCCTTGGTTGGATTGGATAGGAAAGTACAATTTTATCAGTAGTGCATTTAATTCTTGACGTATTCAATTCGCTTGACAGCAGGGGGAAGAATCTTTTTCAACATTAAAATTGTCCGATGCTTCATCATTGTGGTCATTGGCCTCCTCCAAGGCTTGTGAACAGCATTTCTGGCAGTATTTCACGTTGGAGCTAAACAATCCTTCACATAATGACAAACATTCATTTGAGTTAAAGAGGGAATAGCATGGTGGAAGGTGCATAACCACACATATTGACATACCGATTGGAGAAAAGATACATTGTCCCAGAAACTATGCATTGCATCTGGTCCATTCGAGTTGTTGCTAAGTTGCTAAATGATGTAATACGTCTGAATATTTAAAAATGATTGTTGTAAAGATCCAAGTTGATTTATGCAACAGGTGATGTGACCCCTGCTCACCTGCAAATTATCTACCTGTTTAAAAAGAGAATGTTTCTATCACAGGTACCAACAAATAAATAGTTTGCCATCATTTGCTAAATGATGTAATAATTCGGAAGATTGAAATATGATCGCATTGTTGTAAAGATTAGAAGTTGATTTAATCCCTGCTTACTCGTAACTTATCTACCTGTCTAAAAAAGGGCCACCAAATGTGTGAACATATCCGTGAACACAAATATATCCGGGATCCAAATAGGCACCAAATTAAGCATCTGTAACTTTTAAAGTATTATAAAGTCTTATATTATAAATGTTTACTCCCGATGTTTCGGATATACAGTGGGTTCGGAAAGTATTCAGACCCCTTAAATTTTTTTCGCTCTTTGTTTAATTGCAGCCATTTGCTAAAATCAATAAAGTTGCTGGACCTCTACAACTCTAGTCTTGAACTGCCAAGAGGAAGAAGATCCCTAAGCCAAGCATGAAAGCACAAAGAAAAGAAAGTTACCAACAAATGGAATATTTTCGTGGCTTTTGTTTCAGGTAGTGCAACTATTCCAATCCATCAGAGGTCCGATTTGATGTTCACAACAAATATTCAACTGACCATTGAGCAGCCATTAGATATTATTTGTCACTTTTACAACAAATGTAAGTTCAACTTTGTCATTGAATCAAACAATGTTATGATCGAAGTTTGATGAATTATACAAAAGATGGCTTTTATCTGTTTAAATAGATATGAAATTAGATAGAACTTACCTGAACAAAGAAAATCTAACAATAGATAATAATGTAAGTTACTGTGTTCTCCCACATGCGTTGGTTCTATGCAGCTATATAAGCTGAGATGTGCTCACTTTGATTAGTTTTGTCTAAATAAAACTACTATCTCTTGCTCAGAAGTTGATATTTTGTCAGAAAAAAAAAATCAAAATGAAAGAAAGACAATTGAAGAAAAACAAGGACAACAGATGCAAAAAAGTATGAAAAATTAAAGGAAACATTTCTTGTAAAAAGTTCTGTTTTAGTGTTTTACAACTTATTAAGTAGTTATTTATTTATTGTTATATATTTATTTTATAGTTATTTAAGTTAAATAGACACATAAGTGAGTTATGTATCAAAGAGAAGAAAAGACAGAATAACAGTATTTCCGATTAATTTCCCATTTATCTTGGTTTCTGGTGTAATACACCCAAACTGTTTCCTTGTTTATGAATAACGACTTAACAAATCAGAGTTTTTTTAATGTAAATTATGTATTACTGGTTACATTAGTTGTATTATTCTCATTTCCATGATTAGCATTTTATTAATAAATACAAATACATATTCAATAAACCACTCAACAAATTGGTAGTGGATATTTTATTGTATTTAACAGTCAAGCACTGATGTGCAAAAACAAAAACAGTGTTCTGGCTCAAGTTAGTCCACAGGGTGGAGCCAAAGGTAAATATGTAGCATTTAACTTAAATGTGCAAGTGAAACAAAGAGCACATATAACAACAGGCCTTATTTAATTTAAACCATCCATCCATTATCCCTAATGGGGTCGCAGGGAGAACTGGAAACTATCCCAGTGGTCAACGGGCAAGAGGCGGGGTACCCCCTGGACAGAAAGGTCCTGGGTCCCCTGGGACTCAAACCCAGAACCTTTTTGCTGGGAGGCGACGGTGCTAACCACCAAAGAACCGTGCCGCCTATCTAATTTCAATTAAAGTTTAAATTGGCTGGTTTGTTCATTATAAGTCTCACTAGAAAGCCTAAGGCTGGGCCTATTAAAAATATTTCTAAGGAAATTTGCCAATTATGTCTTTGAAGTCCAACTGCCAGCTTAGTTGACTTTCAGTTGAAAGTCTAGCAAGGCTATTTAACCTCTCTTAGGTAGTTGTGGATCTGAGATAGTTTTTAACTGGTTTCTGTTAGCTAAATTACCTTTCTCCACGTGCAACAGTCACAGTTAATCTATGGAATATTCTTATGGCAACACATCACCAAAAATGCTCTGAAGCCGTCATGTCCTGAGTTAATTTTTTTCTTAGTTCTGTTCTCATGTTTCTCTTTTTGTCTTGTCATTTCCTGTTTTATTTTGAAACGGCAATTCTCCTCTTGTGGCCGGTCACTTGCCCTTCCTCATGTGCCACCAGTCTGAATTTCTTCCCTGATTCCTGCTTGTTTCCACCTGTTCCCCATTCCCCTCCACGGGTCCTTATAGTCTGCATCTCCATTGGTTGGTGCCAGATCCTTGTCATGACGTCATTTTTTTAGAGCCTTGTCAATCACGTTGTCTTGATTTCCATGTGTCTGTTCCTATTTTCGCTCCAGTGAGTACCTTGGTTTAGTTAGTTCCTCGGTTTTGGATTTCTTCTCAGTATAGTTTATCCTGTGTTCAGCTATGGCTGAAATAAATTGTAAATAAATTGGTTTCCTTGAGTTCCTGGCTCCCTGTGTTTTCCTCCTTGGACCCTACAATTGGATTCATCTGTTCGACTCATCAACCCCCATTCGGGACAGAATCTGAATTTTATAAAAGAAATTCAGCATTTCGAGGAGAGAGTGGCAGTCTGAAATTCGAGGCTAAACATACCTGAAATGTTGCACTTTCCTTTCAAAATATGTACTGGCTTATCCAATATATTTATTAAACTCCTGTACATTTCCTGAATTTAAGCAGTCTTGTCTTAGAAAACAACAGATTGTAAAGTTGAAGCTTATAATTTTTACTGTCCTTTACCTCCATAGACTTATTTGCATTTACACTACATTTTATTTCACTACCACAGAGATAGATTTCACATTTCTTACTAAACCCAGTTGTTTAGGCTGGGCTCAGACACCTTGCTTTACATGTAGTGCCACTCACTGTCCATACCCATGTTCATTCTCATACCACCCAAAGGTCCTGAAATGAGACATAAAAGACAGCATTATGACAGAATATCGTAATTCATCAATACACAGGTGGTATAGTAGCTTTAGCTTTGTTTCTTAGCATTAAGAATGAAGGTATAATGTAAAAGCATAAACACGTTCATGTTCGGATAACAAGTACAACCTGGACCCACATGAACGTGCAAAAGTGACAAACTTGAAATCAGGATCAAAATAGGAAAAAAAAAGCTTATGAAGATGTGATGTTTGTTCGTGCTTTTCAAGACGATATTTGCCTCAGGACATCAGCAAAAGGTCTGCCTGAATGTGACAATGTCACAAGGATTCTCAAGTTACTAACATGTTCAATTACACAGTTATGCTTTTTTAATTTGTGTCTAGTTTTATCAAGTGAACTTTTTTTGACTCCTTAGTAATCCTCGGAATTCTGTGCTACTTCTGTTAATTGCCTTACTCCAACAATGAGCCATCTTGTTAACTGATTATAAATGTTTGCTTTTAATTTATCATCATGAATGTCCTAATCCAGCTTGATCTTGATTTTTGAACATATCTATCCACCTGGTAGTAAAATTGAAAGACACTTTTATTACACCGGTGATAACTGCTGCACAATGGGAAAATAGTGAGGAAGATAATAATCATCAACATCACCGTTGTTTTCATAGTTATAATTCATGGCAGCATACTGTCATCTATCTTTTTGTTAATATGTTAAGATATTGTATGGTCAATACCATAAATTAGGTTACAGGTTGACCAAACATAAAACAAAGCGATATTACATTAGCTTCTACTAACACTACATTAAACAAACCAAAACTTACATTGTAATTTTCTGTCATTAACGGCAGTTCCACCGAACTTATGACATAATGGAAAGATAAACATCATTACATACAAATCTGGTTCCTGTTCTTGTCAACATTGAAATGTAGGTACAAGTGATCAAGTGAGAGAAGAAATCATTGATAATGTTGTATTTGTAAATGTTATTTATATATAATTATCATTTTATTTGTCATAATATTATGAATATGAAATAACAATAATGTACTCTGTGTTATCTTTAATGAATTCTATTAAACAAAAAAATAACTGTTCAGTACTCATTGTGTGTTAACTTTAATGACTTCTTTTTGTGACGGTCAATATTTATATAATTGTTTTTTCTTTCCCAGGCTGACAAACAGACCAATAGGATTGGGTTTTAGTAATTAACTTATGACTTTTGCATTGGTGCCATATGGGTAATGACTCTTGCTAATAATCCTGAATTTAGGCACTAGTATAAAGGTTTGCTCACCTCCAGGGCAAAGGCCCATGTGCTGCTGACCATCAAGAACAAAGCTTCCCATTGGCTGGCCATCTGGACTATACGTTGAACTATGACTCGCTAAAACAGGAGATGAGAAACCAGATTGTCAGTGAAGAAGTCCCCTACAGCAGGGGTACTCACACCTTTTCAGCATGGGAGCTACTTTTGAAATGACCAAGTCAAAATGATTTACCCATTATATTTATTGAGAAACATATTGAGGATTCTTACAACCCATTCTGTATGAAAGTGATATGTTTTTTTCTTCTTACTTGGTCCAGCTCCCCCACTCATTTTCATAACCTATCTTACGTTTAAGAGGAAAAAAACTAGCGAAAAATGAGGATGTGACTAACGACTAGCTTGTTAGCTTAGCTGCGCTCAGTGTCCTATTTGTACAGGAAAAAAATCAGATGTCATCTGACTGGTTGTCCTGTGTATCAATCAAGTGACGGGATGGCTGATAGGATGACGTCTAGTTTTTATTCAAAACAACTCAACTTTATTTGTATAGCGTCAGTTCATGACAATGACCCCTCACCTTGTCATGCGATCTACCGATAGCAACTTGGAGAGCGACTGGTAGATCGCGATCAACGTATTGAGCACCCCTGCCCTACAGTGATCTTTGTTGTTGGTCAGCTATGCTTCTCTCAGACTGAACTTGCATGTGTCTTACTATTCTACAGAGTCTTCAAACAATTACCAGATTGTCTTTTTGAAAGGATAAGCTCAGGAGGTTGGGAGAATTCAGTTATACTAGGTGGATTGAGCCAAATATAGTTAATATTGATACTAACTTTGCTGTAGATTCCCAGTCATACAAATCATGGTAATCCTAAAACCTTTAACAAAGGCAACTGGAGTTATGTTTGGATCTTGAAGACTTTTCATCGCAAGGCTTCCTCAGCTCTATACTAGCTAGATAATGTCACCTTACAAGCACAGAGAAATGTTACAGTTCCAAGCCACTTCTACTCAGAAAACTGAATTCTGAATGAACTATATCTGAACTATACCTGCTTTGTTGGTCTGGTCAATCATTGGCTGGACTATTCTTCGTCTTGCATTGATGAACCTGGAAGATATGTTTAATATCGTTCAAACTTTTTACTTAACAGACAAAAATCCACACACATTTTTAGTTACTTTTAACTTAAGAAGAACCTCAGATAAAAAATCAGTTTAGGACTGCAAAGATAAGAAACTGATTGCTTCAGCTTTCCCAAAATGATAGGAACTTTCTGCTGCAACAATGTATGTATGGTAAACACACAAATGTGGTACTTGAAACTACTATTTCCAAACGTAGCAAAAAAAATCATTAGTGAAACTGTCCCCATATTAACATCAGTTCTTGATGATGGCAAGTTATAAACGTGAATATACTCATGTAGACTCTCCATCATCCATGTCATGGTAGTCCTAAAAATTAGAATATTGAAGACTTTTTACCGCTCATCTGACATGCTTCTTTTGTTCCAAAAAAGCACAGCGAAGAAAGTCTGAAGTCGAAGACAGCCTGAAAGATTATATTGTAGAGTGTTTCAAAGGCGACCCTCAGGGACTCGGTGAAAAATCCCTTACTAAGGGAATGATCCAAAATCCGCGGGGAAAAAAAGACATAATCATTGACCTCCTGGCAAGCAGTATGAGCAACCTCGAGATGTTTTATTTGGGTTTGCACTGGGCTATTTCTTTCCCACACCTTAACTTTTTCGCACTCTTTTTTTAATTTTTACATCAACTGGCTGAGCTTCCACTCCAACAAATTCTATTGACTATTCATTTGTCTTAACACCGAATGATTAGGGGCATGCCCGTGTTTAAGTTTGTTTATGGAATGTGCATGGAGTTGCGTCTAGAGAGAGACATTAAAAATATCCAATAGATCGAAGGATTTTCAGGGAAATATTGTTTTACTACAGGAGACTAATCAGTCAGAAGGTGATGTTCTCACCACACCACCATTCCCTCACATATATTCAGCCTGAGACAACTCCATGGAAAGAGGACTAGCTTTTTTTATAAACAGAAAAGGAACTTTTGTTGTAAACAGCACAGTTATAGATTCTGAATTATGGTGTCTTTACGTACCTAAATGAGTTTCTAAAATCAAAGTGAATTGCAAACATAGTAGCTAGTAGTAGTAGTTGATAAATAGCTAGCAATTCTGGCACTGATAACAGGATTGCTCTTATTTTGGAAACAGAAGTATGAGGGCTTCTAGAAACACCCCTTTACTTTTTTCAGCCATGTATCAAAGACACTGGTGTGTTCTGAACAAAGTCAGGTCAATCTCAACTGTGATTAACAATCAAGACTCAAATTAGGAAGGAATAGAAACATTGAAACAATTTGAATATTTCATGAACCACACACATGATATCAATCACGTGTAGAAAATGACTTACCAGTTGTTCACTTGAAGGATGGTGAGTCCTGTGTCATGTGCTAGCTGCCTTTTTTGTTCCTCTGAAGGGTATGGGTGCTGTGAGAGAAAAAAATCAAGTATTTTATCTTAAACAGACTGTCAGCCTGTCCAAAAAACTTGCATGTCAGGTTAATTGGACAGTCCAAAGTGTCCATAGGAGTGAATGTGACTGTGTGTGGTCACATTTAGGTTTTCATGCTTAAAAAACTTTTTAAAAATCCTGTTGTAACAAAATTCTACCCAGTTTCGTCCAGTTGCAGTTATTACTAGAGTTGAGAGTATAAGCCCCCTCCAAATAACAGGGTTGAATCTTATTTTAGTTAGCTATTTTGGTATTTCTTGCCTTTTGATAAAAATGTTATCTTAGAAAATTAATTTCAAACAGAGAGTGTAATCAATATCTGGAAAGTACTTTAGAGAGTATCCGTCCATCTATTGGAATTATCCCAGCTGTGTTTGGGTCAGAGGTGCAGTACACTCTGGACAGATGGCCATTCCATCGAAGGACCAGAGACAAACAACCACACACACATTCACTCCTCGTGGAAAGTTAGAATTACTCTTGTAACTCTGTGATAGGAAGCCCAGAGAGAACCACAAGGATAACATACAAACTCCACACAGAATGGAGGCCACCACTCAAAGTGGGAACCCTCTTGGTGTGAAGAAACCATGCTACCCACCTTACCACTGTTCAAAGAACATCTTAAATGTACAAAAAAAACATAGCTGAATGTGTCTGGACATGGATCTGAGTGAATTCCCTTACAGTAAGATTTTGGAACAGCCATGTTCTCATTATATTTGTGGCCACTTTGGGAAAGATGCCTCGTTTCTTCTGTCTCTTCTTTTCCTGATCGTCCTCATCTCCCGTGTCTGGTGATACCAGGTTGTTGTGCAGGCTGTCTCCTTTAATCACAAAACACAGGAGGAGTTCTGTTATCATCCCGTTGTCCTTATTCTGTGCACACACGTGAGCATTCTTGCTCCTTCACACTTGTGCTTCACTCCTAGGCCGCTGGATAATCCATACAAGCTTAATCAAACCAGGAGCCATTCATTCGCTCTTATGTAGATCTATATATGTACTATGTACTTGAATCTGAATTTGAAGAAATCCTGGTAGGTTGTAAGGTAAAAAAAATAGGGTAGGCAAGAATAAGCTTTGCTTCGGCCTATTCCTTTTTTGGTAAACTGTGGGTTTGTCGATTGTTTTTTTTCTTTTTTTCTTTTGTTGTTTCTTGTGTTTAATGTGGACAATTTAACAAAATAAAGTGATTGATTGATTGATTGATTGATTGATTGATTGATTGATTGATTCAATTTGAGTCATGCTTTTGACATAAGGGAATGACAGCAAGAACTGTTCATTTTACTAAAAAGTAATGATCACTGAAAGAGCCGCCTGATTCATTTGCTCTGTGATGTATGTTTGAAATCAGTCTTACAATTATTCTGAAGTAAAAAGAGGAAAAAACAAACAGTTTGGCTTTGTATTCTGAATAACCATAGATGACAATTTTTTCTGTGGTTTCCAGTCAACATAAACACATCTGTTCCCAAATGACAAAATAAAAGGTTAATTGTACAAATTGTACAAATTGAAAGCTATCCGATAAATATGACCCAAATCAGCTAAGAGCAGCTCCTTTTCATGCCAATAAAATGTTCCAGTCTCTGTGATAGGATCTGATGATAAACTGTGTCAAAATCAGCACTAAGGTCTAGTAAAACTAACACTAAGTCCTTTGTCTGATGCCGTTAGGAGGTCATTAAATGGAAGGTTAAATATAGGTCTATAGTTGGCTAAAACATCTGGGTCCAGGTTAGGCTTTTTCAAAAGAGGTTTAATTACAGCTACTTTAAAATACCGTGGCACGTGGCCTGTTGATAAAGACAGAAAAAACTGGGATTGTTCCTATTTTCCTCAATTAAAGACGAGAAGTACACTTCTTTGGCATCACAGAGGGCCTTCCTGTAAGTTTTAAGACTATCTTGCCAAGATAAACGAGAATTTTCTAGCTTGGAACGTCAGTTTCTCACAAGTTTACACAATATTTGATTTAATTTGCGGGTTTCAGTAGTATACCATGGAGCTAACCGTCTTTGTTTAAGTATTTTCTTTTTTGGTGGGCTTAAGACCATGCAACCTCATTTGTAAAGAAAAACAAATGGATCACAAACAGATGACTATTTTCAATACTTTTACTGTTTCTCTGGATGAAAGAATTCGAACCACTAAAACAATGTAAATGTTGTTTAATATAGTATTATTCAGTTAAAAAAAGTGTGATTTCTTCACTCAGGTAAGTAAAGTGTGGTTTACTTTTCACTTGACTTTATCAGGACATCTTAGTGTTACTTAAAAACCACTTGTGAACTCATTTTTATAAAATAAAATTTCAGAGTAAAAAATATTTAAATTTTTGTTGTAATCTAACAGGATGTGTGTCTGACTTCCTGTCGAAAGCTGCATGCATCCATATCCAATATCTTTCTATTCTCATCCTTTCTTCTGTTTCTTCACACATTATGTGGTCTCTCCTTGTGGGTGACACTCTGCATCCCCATCTATGATGCATCTTCTCCTAGGCAAAAAGGTTTGGACCTATAGTTT